AGTAATTTGGTTCTCTGACAAATACATCTGTTCATCCTACTTTCAAAAACCATAGTGGATTTGGAACCAAGTGTTAGATAGGATTTTGTTACCATAGGCAGATACCATTACATCATACAGGCAGAACATTACAATGACAGCATATTATAGTGTTAGAGTGGACCTTGATATTCTACCAGCATGTCATTAGGGCAACTCTTCCTTCCTCTTCAAACTGATGAAGACATGATGTTAAATGTACATTTTTGTTGGCAATGCATCTGCAGTAAGCTCTTCTGCCAGGGCTTTCACCTTCTCTCCTGCCTGGCTGACAGAACTGCACCAAGGGAAATTTATGTTTCTGACTTTTTAAGGAAATTTCTTTTTAATAAATTCCTTTAAATTCTTATATGTTATGGTATCAGTCTGTGTTCTCACTAATGAATATTCACACTATTACACTAATTTTGATTATTTACAGACAAACCTGAGGCAGCTCTTGGGGCCATTTGTGCAGTTTTAAGATTACATTTTTTTCTTAATTCAAATGTGTATCTCTTTGCTGTGTAAAAATAAAGGTTAGTCACCCTTATAATCATTACTCAAAATCTAATTTACTGGTAATACACAGAAAATCCCCCCGTGGAAACAGATGGATTTTTCTTCACTTTAACAGTAAAGATTGTATTCTTCAACAGTTGTTGAGAAGATTCTCTAAGACTTATTTCCCAGGTTCTTTCTGCTCCATATTAAAGCATTTCTCTGGTTCTCTTCTGGTTCTTATCTTCTCTTTTATTGATTACTTCCTTACAACTTAAAATGGTATTATAATGCTTCTAATTATGGATATTTATAGTTTTTGTCTCAGACTCTCTCAAATCATTAGTAAGAAGGTTTTCAGCTAGTTTTTCTGTTTGAATTTATCCCTTTGTTAGAACTGAAAGAATTGATTGCTCATATTCTTTCCTGATTTTTTCTGTCAAGTATAAAAAATTGGTAGGCACTAACTGTAAATGAGTGCTTCTTTCTTACTGACATTTTTATTACATTTAACTTTAACAATTATCCATCTTTTTACTGGTAAATTGTTGGTCTCTTTTGCTTTTTTGCAGGAGTCACCAAGTTGTTTAGAACTTCTATGTTTGTAATCAGGCAGGTTGTGTAGGATATACATGTTACTGTATGTAAACTAAAATCCACATATGTATATAGAATATTCTTCCTGCACAACATGCCTCAAAAAATTTGGTTTAATTTGAGGCTGCCCTGTGTGTTTGCTGCTGTCATGTTGCACATCACATCTCTCAGTAGTTCCATCAGGTTCACAGAAATTGTTGTTACTTCTTCAGTTCCTCTTGATCTCATTATCCTGCTGGTATTTTGTGTGACACTCTTGCCTTACATCTAGCACAGTTCTCTTTCTTTTTTAAAGCAGTTTGTGGGGTGCACAGGGCACTGAATGGTGCTAGTGTTTGGTAGCAGGGACAGATAAAGCATTTTTAATTCATATGGGTAAGCAGTTTTAATTCCATGTGTCCAGACAAAGGCACACAACCATGAACTGCACTGTAGAAGCAGCACATGGAGAGTGTTACAGAATTTTATGTCATGAACTGTTATATATTTTAATACATCATATATACATACCATGATTTGCTGCTTTGTTAAACCAATACAGTGAAATTAGTATAACTTGACTAAAGGGGTAATTGCCTATGATTACTTCCAATGGCTTGCATGAGCCCTAAATTTTTTAATTAATGCTCAGAATAGCTATAAAACTGAGCCCTGGCCATTTAGTTCACTATCCACAGGGAGTAGACAAGGCTGCTCCCCTGGCATAGTGGGATGGTTCTTACACAGTTTGGAGACTGCTTCAAGGATAAGCTCCACTAAACCCTGGTGCCCAAATATATTGCATTAGTGTGGGACTGGCTGAAGGGATCCAGGAGCACTGGAGAGGATAATTCTAATTCCCTTCACCTCATGGGCAGCAGGACCCATGGGTGTAGGAGGTGATGGCAAATGCAGTGGTAGAAAAGGGATATTTTGTGCAGTGTTTTCTTCAGCAACAACTCACTGCCTCCTCCAGAAGAAGAGAGAGTGAGGAGCTGCTGGACTATTGTGTCAATAGCACAGAGCAATCTGTGCATTGCTGCTTAAGTCCAACATTCATGTCCCTGATGTCAACAATGTTCCATATCAATTAATATTTCTGAGCTGAGAAGAGCCCAAGTGACCATGTGACAAAAGCAGTAATCCAGCAAGGACAAAAGTGAAAATGTTGCTTTTCCTTACAAATCAAAGAAAGCTGGAAAAAAAGCCACGTTTTTACAAGCCTCCTGTACGTGTTCTTTGGGGTGGTTGGGATGCATCTGTCATGGCAAAGGAGAATCAGGTGACTCAGGCCTCAGAGGGGTAGTAAATCATTGCAGTCATTCTGAAAGGCTGAGAGCTTGAACATTCTCATTCTCCCTTAGAAAGTACACTGTAGAAAGTAGTACATTTTATTTTTCTTGTCACTTTTCTTGTACACTTCATCTTTCTTCAGACAATGCAGCAAGGAACCTTTTCTTAAACAGTACATAACGTTTCTTTAGAATTGTTTTGTATCACAGGCCTTAGAGCATTAAAAAAAAAAGAGAATTTTTAAATACACACATAGAATTTTCTCATACATTGAGTGGTCTTTATCTGCTGGATTCTTTTCAGTTTCTCCACCAAAAAAAAATTGCAGTCATGTTTCCTATAATTATCTTACTCATTGTACGATGCCTGTGGTTTTATTAAGGCTTGAAGACCTGCATTTCTTCTTGTATACATTTTTAAAAGTTGGATCTAATCAGAAGAACAGAACAGTGTTAAAATACAGACAAGGTTGTAGCTGATCACTAAAATCCCTCTTTTGGTCACTGTTATAGCACCCACTAATATTTCATCAATTTCAGTACTCAAAGGTATACCCCTACAGCTTCTAGGATGAGGCCTGATTTTTGTTTTTCTTCCTAGGAACTGGCTTTGCTTATTCAAAAAAGCATTGTCAAAACAGCTAAAGGGATTTAGGTGCCCAGATCCTAATGATGATTTCATGTGGGCTCCTGAAGGTAACTGAGACAAGCCAGCATACTTAGAGAAACATAGCAGCACTTCTCTTATGCTGAGGCATAGTGAGCAGGGGTTTGGATGGGTAGTGGCCATTCTGTACAATGCTCAGGGGAGAGGACTCACAAATGTTGTTCATGTTTCTATAGAATATGATTTTTTTCATTCTGTTATGTTCCTCACCACTTCCTAGGATTCTCCCTGGAGATAATTAGATATCATGCTGAAACACCTTCCCACAAACTGAATTTTGAATAAAGAAAGCAGCTGGATGAGGATGTGTCTGTTGCACTCAGGTTGAACACTCAGCCTGTGTCCTTGAACAAAGCCCCCATCTCAAAGGACTTTCTGCTGAAATATACAAACAGTTCCAGCAAATTTTGGAAAATTTCCTAACTAAAAATTGAATGAGTCATCCACATCAGTTTTATATCTGCTGTTAGCTCAGTTAATAGCCATGTATTAAGGAAAAATGACAAGAATCATGGAAGTTGTGTCTCCTACAGAGCTATTTTGTTACACAGTACAGATACTAAATTGCTTTCTAATCTATAATTCTGAACATTTTTTTTCCACTTTTGTTCATTAAGAGTGAACTTTTTTCACATGGAAAGGACGTGACTTGCACATTCAAAGGCTACATGTACCACACTGTACACTGTATTCAGTATAGGACCAGAATATTCAGTGAATATAGAGATAGCTTTTCATAATTTACACTGGTGCTATCGTGGCATGGTAACCAAGAAATAAATTTATCTTGGTATGTGAACATTCATCTTTTCCTTGGATACAATACAAATCAAACAGAGTTGACTGAATAGGATACTTAAATGCACTCTTGAAGACTAAGATAATTCTCAGATATAAATAACCCAACATTTAAAATTAAGGCAGAAACCCCAAGATTTCCTACCTAAACCCCTACCTACAGTGTTGAGGTTTTACAGTTTTGAACAAAATCCTCAGTGTGCTTGCATGAACCTGAACTTTTGTTTTGCTTATTACCTGCTGTTTACTTAAAATAACCTGCTGACCAAAAATAATTCACTTATACCTGAGTGTGTATCCTTTCGTATGTTGAAGGGGAAATTGTGCTCAGTAATTCTCCTTATGTTTTCTTGCCCGGCATGAGAGGAAGAAAGATACAACATGAATATTTTACAGTCCAGTCCAATTCTGAACTCTGATCCAAACCCTGATCAATGGATGTTGCGGTTTAAAGACCTGTTGACCAAGAACAGATGAATGCAGTAAGAGTTTGAAGCAGGCATGTTTTGTTTCCCACCCCATGAGACAGCAACATGCGCTGTGCTGATTGACCATGGCCTCATTTCTATAGAGCTGTTGCAGACAAATCAATTGTTCAGCAGTCAGTTTCCTCAGAAGTAAAATAAATCTATGTGATATATAAAGAATAAAATACTTACCAATATTATGGCTATTTTTGTAATTATCTCAACTAGTGGCCTGTTTCCTGAAGCTTTAAGTCAGGCAGGGAAGATGTCTAGCTCTGAATTCTACCCTGGAGTAAATTATACTTGCAGTTCTTATGAGAGCAAAGAGAAAAGAAAATACTCAAATTGACTTGGTATCTCTTAGGAGACAAAACAGCAGGGTGCCAGTGTTACCTGCAGTACCTTGGTAACTGCCTGTGTGCAGAGGTCAGTAAAATGCTGTGGGATCTGCAGCTCTAAGAACACGTACCAGTTCTGTGGCCCTTGGGTTTTTTCAAATTATACCTTAAGGATATGGTGAGTTATTTTCTCCATACTGTGATGAGTTGCTAAAACAAATCAGCAGTTATTCACAGAAGATTTGATTTAACCCATTCTCAAGTATCAGAACACACATCTCTCCTCCATTCTGAATCTTGGGAGCTGCCACTTTACCTAGCATTTGTTGCATTCACTTTCCAGATCACGTGAATGGTCACTGTACCAGCCCAACCTCCCAGAGCTGCAGTTCAGGCAAACGCCTTTCCAGTGCAGATGTGTCGAGAGCAAACCGCCGAGGGCCCGGCAGGCCCCCCTTCAGGAAAGCCCAGTCTGCAGCCTGCATGGAGATTTCCCTCCCAGTCACCACAGAAGGTGGGTGGCAATGACTCTTTTGCCAGCTATTTGTGAATTTCTCACCAGGTGTGAAGGGGAAAAGTTCAGCAGGATTCTTGTCTGGGTTATTGCCTTGAGCTAACTAACACTTTAAACTGTGATAGGCTATCAGCAACACCATGGTCCTAATCCTCTTCTTGTGAGGAGCATTTGTATCCTCAGCCACCCACCTGCGGGGGTATCTGCACCACAGTTACAGCTGGAACCAGTGCTCCCTGATTTCCACACCTGTTAATGAAGACAGAGCAAGGGGAATTATATCCCTCAGATTGTCTACCTTTGTATTTTTAAATGCAAATTGTTTCAAATACCTTTGTTATTAGTGGCACATGGCTAGAAGATTTGATTTTTTAATTTTTATGGTAACATAAAGTAGCAAATTTTTTCCTCAACATTAATGACTGGTTATCAACATAACATAAGCCTTTCATATAGTTCTCTTTACTTGCCACACAAACATGGTAAGTTACACTGTCATATAACAGCTCCTGATGGAAAATACACTACTGCCACAGTAGTTTCTACTGCTGAGTGTTTTTGTTCATCCTATGTAGTACCAAACTCTTCTGGAGTTCTTGTATGCTGATATTGCTGCAATATCAGCACCACTTGTACCTGCCAAGGCCACAGTATTAGCTAATCCTCCTTTATGCTTCTTTTTTTCTTCCATGCTCCCAGAGTAAATAGGGTCACTGGCAGGCAGAACCCACAGCCCCCTAAGGTCCCACTGGCTCTTGTGTACAAAGCATTTAGCAATACAGTGATACTTTCAATGGCATCATGGTGCTTTCTGCATACCTGTGTCATGAAAGATTCACTTTATGTCATTCATCACTATTTATAATACCTATCAAGTTTAATATAAGCATATATCTCTTTTAGAGATAGTAATCTAACTTGCTTTCAGGCTTTAGAAGTAAATTGCATTAATTGACATTAAGAATTCCTATTTGAAGGTATCACTTAAATAGTATTAAAACCTTCAGTAAAGTCAGTGAAACGACTGTTGCAAGAGTGAGCCAGGCAATCTCCAGAGTCATTTATATCAGCATGTCATGATGGGGCATGGTTGCAGTTTGTCCTTGGCTCTGTGGATTTGTGTACAAGTCACCTTTTAGCAGGTTTGTTGACTAAAATAGTTTTCTGATTATCTGTAGTCTCTCAGTAAAGCAAAGCCTTCTCTCCAGCTTGTCTAAATTATTTTTCAGTAGGCACTATTACTTTTTTGAGTTCTAGCTCAACTGCCTGGAATGACTGACATGCCACTGTTCTTCATGTATCTCGAATTTCTAGACATACAGTTTAGTCAAGTGGTTTGATGTGTTTCTAAAGGTTTTTCTACTAAATAATATGGTGGAAGGTGGTATGATGCTTGAAAGATTCTTAGTCTGGGTGAGGGAAAAGAAAGAAGAGAAGTTAAAAGGTTTGAGACAGAATATGCTGAGAATAAGAATTCTCTCTCTAATGTAAAAGTGGTTTTGATCAATACCTTCTGGTTGAGCTGTTCCAAAATAAAATGAAAAAAATCCCCTCTTTGCTAAGAATTTATTGGCTACTTAGGAGCATATGGTGCAACAAAAAATAGATGTATTCCCAAGAAATTATTTTCTTTATTTTTATATTCTCATGAGGTGAGTCAAGATACATGTTTTATATCCTTTCTAGAAAGGTAGCATTTCAGGTTAGAATTTGGTTGGATTTTATTATTCTACCAGAGTAGAATTTTGATTAGTTTGCTATCTCAAAAGGACTTCTTAGACATTAAAAAAAAAAGCCTTTGTGTGTGGGTAAATGGTTCTTACCTTTTTTAAGCCTGTCTCCAAGGAACTGATAATACTTGGAGATTTTTTTTAATAATGCTTCCAGTTCCTGTTCTTTACAACCTCTTCTATATGATTTGATTAAAAAGATAATACATTTTGGTAAGTAATCATAAGACATATATTAGAATAATAGATGAATCTTCTCCCCTTGCATTGGATTTCAAACTCTACTTACTTAAATCTGACCTGCTGGTACAATAGGAACTGTACTCCCAGCATTTTCATCAAGTCTATTTTCAACAAACTTTCACACAATAAATTCTTCTGACTTTGTTCCAGTGAGCTGATTGTCGAGATTTTGCTGACTCTCACCTCTTTACTTCTGCACAAGGACTCCTAATATAGACAAACATTTTTGAAGAATGTCTTTGCAATGATGAATCATAGGAAGGAAATGGGGGGTGGGGGAGTGAAGGGCAGGGTAGTTGTCTTTTTGTCTGCTGGTTGAAATATTGCAAAATGCTCAGATTCATACAGTGCTGATATTTCTCCCACTTTAATAGCAGAATAATTCAAAAGCCAAGTAGCACTGGCAGAGGAGTGGTGCATCATTACTGTTGCTGCCTAAACCTATGTTTTTCCCAGGCTCTTCATCATCCTCTTTTATGCTTTTTGAAATGTTGCATGTTGTCTCAGTATCTTCTGCTTTCAGAAATGCATCTCTCTCATGGCTGTAGTAAAAAAATCTGTAGTTCTTCAGTATTCTATATCAAATCTTAGCAAAAAATTAGAACCTTGTAAATTCTCAATAGTATATTATTATTTATAAGGAAGAGATTTTTTTATGTGAAGCATTGGAACAGGTTACCCACAGAGGTGATCTCTGGAAACATTCAAGTTCAGATTGTTCAGGGCTCAGAGCAACCTGACCTAGTGGAAGCTGTCTCTGTTTGTTGCAGGTGGGTTGGAACCAGATGACCTCTAAAGGTTCATTCCAGACCAAACTTCTCTATGATCCCATGATCACTGATTCTAAACAATTTTGTTTTCACATACTTTTGATTAAACAGTATATTTCTTGAGATAATATAAGAATTTATGGGCATTGTAAACAAACCCACAAATACAGGAAACTCCATTGCTGACCTTCAAATCCCTTTTGAAAAGAAGTTTTTGAGATTTCAGGAATTAGTGGTTACACTTCTTTGATAAGGCTTTCTTGCACAGAGTATAAACTAAATTTTTTTATTATCAATTTCACATTGTGCTCTTAAACAGTAATAAAAAATACACATGAATGCAAATTATTCTTAGCAAATTAAATCCTTACAGGGATTCTGACCCATGATAACATTCTGTAGAATGGGAATGTGTTTTGTCTCCAAGCTTAGTGGATTTCTTTGAGGGCTGTAGCCATTAGCACTGCTCATGTTTCAGCCTGTTCCAAGCTCTGGGTTCTGACTAGCACCCATTTTTTTTCTGCAGGTCTTCAAAGAAACACTGAAATAGGGATTAAATTTTTGTTTAACTTCCTGGGGAAAATGTGTGGCTCGACTGGTTTGCCCTCTGTACTATGGCACAGACCCAAAATAGTCCATCTCAGCCTAAGAGCTAACATCATCGTTTTTAACCGTGCAGAAATCCCAAGCTGATAAAGAATTGCAGTGTAGATTAATAGATCCTAAACATCTGCTTCTTTTCTGCACAGGAAAACAAAAAAGTCAGTTTTTAAAAAAATTTTAATTGCAATTTTAGATTAAAGAAAATCCTGAATTAAAGAAAACAGTGGCATTAAAGAATAAAAATAAAATTGCTGTGGGAGGGAGCTCATTGTAGTTGTACTTGGGTAGCTGGTGGGTACATGGATGTGTGCACAGATCCACATGCTGGCACAGATTTCTCTTTGTGTGTTATGAGAAGCCTTTCAGATTTGATACTTCTTGGTTATTGGTTTGGGGTTTTTTCAAACACTGCTTTTTAAAGCTATTTTGCATTCTCCAAATGTTTCTCTCTGGCTTGTGTTGGCTGAGTCTGCAATTTTTTTCCTCCTTGTCTGCATCCATACAGAAATGTGGGCATTCTGCACACATATGTCCACCTGTGGTTCCATTGTACATCATGGGAAGAAAGTAAAGACAGAGTGGAGTTTTTCCTTTGAAGTGTTATGTTTGGAAATTCATTTACTTCCAGCAGCAATGATAGAAAACTGTCTTCCTTTTTTTACTATTATTTGTATTCCCCATTATGTAGTTTTTAATTAGTCCAGCCTAATCACCTTGTTCTGTAAAGGCCAGTTACATATTGGTGTTACAAAATTGCCTCTGAACAAGGAATCCCAGCAAGGTTTTGCTGTGCATTGTAATTTTATAGGAATGCTAAGAAGAAAGACTTGGAGTTTGCTTTCACTTTCCTTTAAAACAATTCAGTTTCAGCACTTAGCTTTTGGATTAACTCTTTTGATGTAGTTAAAATTTTATATGTAGTTAAAATTTGATACAGAGCACTTGAATTGAAATGCCACTATGAGCTGGCAAAACAAACCATTCAAGTAGTTATTATTTTTAATAACCTTATCAAAATTCTATGGCATCCATTTTAACTGATGCAGGGTACTTTTCTACCTGAAGTTTTTCTTTTGTGTCTGACTATGCATAAGATGACTACAGTTATTCAGGGATAAGTTGTTCTCTCATCTACATGATTCTGCCCAATTTGTTTTGGAAAATACACAGTATTTGGTATATACTATATAATTGAAACTTTTTTTTATTCATAGAAAGTATTTGTGAAAATTACCATTAAAAAAAAGCCTTTTAGGTAGCCTGATGGAAACTTCCAGGTAAGTTCAGTGTCCTGTAGTTGGGATCTAGAAACAGGATATTGAGTAGTTATCTTAGGAAAAAGGCCACTGCCTGAGGAAGCAAATTCACCTGGTGTCGTGCTGAGCATTGCAGTGTTTGCTGTGTAATTTATATAAAATTTATATAATTTTTCTCCTGTCAGTTATGACTGTGCTGTTAAGCTGTCTCCGGCAGTGCTGGATCCATAACGCATTGGATTTTTTTGCACTGGATGGGTAAATGTGGCCATGAGGTTTCCTTCCCATGTGGCAAGGTGGGGGTAGAAGAGGGAGGTTTCTATTTTTATCACTGGCTCTTCTTTTTATTGAGTCTCTTGGGTCTCTGAAGCCCACATGTGGATGTGAGGTAGGTAATG